AAAAAAAAAAAAGAAAGAAAAGAAAAGAGAGCACACGTTTAAATTTCTCATTTGAATATAATTCTTAAGCATTCATTTATTTATTTTATAAGAATAAATATAATTATTTCTAATTTTTTAAAAGTGTCTTTCTTAAACTAAGAGTAGTAGACTAATTTCTAAATCTTATAGCAGCCCATCTCTCCTTTTTTTTTTTTAAAGAATTATTTAATTTAACTTCATTATTTTATTTTTTTGAAGTTGACCAGAGAGAGAGAGAGAGAGAGGAAAAGTGAGAAAGCAAGCTGCCAGGTCCAGGACTCGAACTGCAGTCAGCCATGTGGGAGTCTAGCAACCTTAACCACCATGCCACCTGTTGTCCCAACAGCCCTTCTTAAACTATTGATTTACCTCATATTTAATATTGTTTTCCTGTTTGCGGAAAATGGGTATTCAACTCCAGTCACACCCACAGCAATTTCTAAACAAATGTTTATTTTAATTGTAAAACATAAAACTATGGAACTAAAAATAAAATAGAGACTGTTGATTTCAGAATATGAGACTGTTTTTAATCATAAAAACAGTGAAAGAATCTGAAAAGGGAAATAAAAGCTGTATATAGGTCATGAATATGCAACTGATAGAGAAAAAATACAAAAGACAAACATTCGGAATGCTAAATGCAAATTAAGATAAAATTGTGATTTTTAAAAAAAAATCTTTTTACAACTTCTGGGACCAGCAGTTAGCGTAATGGCTATGTCGCTGGACTCCCACGTGGTCGACTGCGGTTCGCATCCAGACCCAGGGGCTTAAAACTCACGCCGGGAGCGTGTGCGTGCGTGCCCAAGATCCCGAGAGGAGAATGGAGGAGAAGAGATTGCGGCGTGACCATCCCCCCAGGGGGTGATTTCTCTCTTTCTGTCTTTCTGTCTCTCTGACTCTCTGGCGAGCCACACATGCCCTATAGCAAAAACCTCTCCAAAAAAAAAAAAAATCTTTTTACAACTTCTGACACCACCTATCCCAAATTGGGCCAAACTCCACAGGCTGGGGATACTGTTCCCACAGAGACAGCATCGCTCAGGGAATAGCCACAGGTGCCGGGTCCCCAGGCCACCCTCGCGTCTGACCAGCCAGCTACAGATTCAGAGGTTCTCTCCACCCTCTCAGGTTGGCATTCACTAGCGTCTCACAGAACTCAGGAAGGATATCAATGTTCTTTTTTAATTTGCCAGAGAGAAAGAGAGAGAAAATGAGAAAGCGCCTCCCGTGCGGAGTGGTCATGCCCAATCCCCTCTCCTTCATCTCTCCTTCCTTTCAGGACTTTGGACATGCACACACACATGCCTGGCATAGTTTTTCAAACTCCCGGATTCAGAACTTGAACTTCTCTGTCAACCATGTGGTATCCATGTGCCTTAACCACCAAGGCATGAGCTGGCTTCAGGATATCAGTTTTCTTATAGCAAATATAATATACTATAGCAAATGGATACAAATTAATTGAATGAGTTTATGAATTAAAATTTTTCATTTTTTAAAGTTAATTTCTTTCCTTCATAAGCAAGAGACATGATCTCACGTGTGCAAATATACACACCCTTGACAGAGTCTTACCACACTGCCCGCCCACACCCTCCGCCAGCCTGTCAGCCATCCAGGAGGGTCATAGGTACACTTTGTGTGTTCACGTCACCTGTGATCCAAGCCATGGGCCTTCCCATGGGACTCCAGCCTTGCATAGCCACACCCTGCCACGTGAGCCACTGCAGCTGGGCCTGCATTGGGCCAGCCAAAAAATGCATGGGTGAGGTCTTGGAGGGTATAAATGCCAATTTTCTGTTGTCCCCTCCCTGTGGAATCAGGTTGGGTCACCCTGTAGGCACATGGAATTGGTGGGGCATAGGTTATTTATGTATAAGTTTTTGAGGAACCGTCAACTTATCTACAGCAACTGCACCATTCAACATCCCCACAATAGTGTGCGAAGGTTCTGATTTCTTCCCATCCTCACCAACCCTGTTCTTGTCCATCCTTTTGATAACAACTCTCTTAGTAGGTACGAAGCAGTATCAGCTCATGTTTCCCTGTTAACTAATGATGTTAAGCCTTTTTTCATGTGTGTGTTGGCCACTTTTATGCTGTTGTCTTTGGAGGAATGTCTATTCAAGTAAATGATAGGGTTTTTGTTTGTTTGTTTTGTTTTTTAGGGTTGTTGCCATTGGGTGCATGTGCTCACCAGAAAGAGACAGAAAGAGAGAAAATGATAATCACCCCCCAGGGGGCATGCCCATATCACAGTCCCTTCTCCTTCATTCTCCTCTTGGGATTTTGGGCACACACACATGCACACGTACCAGGCCATTGGGTCCTGGACTCCAGCCACGCAGCCGGCCCTGCGAGAGTCGAGCACTTAACCACCATGCCATCTGCTGACCCTAGTAAACAGTAGTCTTTTAACTATTTAAATGCTAATAAGAAGTCACAAGAAGCAAGAACGAAAAAGAAGTTGAGATTATGAGGGGACTGGAAACAAATGGAAGAGGGTGTCAGAAGTAGGGGAGAGACCGAACTGAGCCCGGGTGGAGGGTTTGGGCCCGTAGTGAGGAGGAAGAATAGCTCTGTGTGGTAACAGGACAGAAGGAAAGGGTGGGCATGACTGCTACCAGTTTTATAGGCGAGGGTATAGGAAATTGGAGGATTCCTATCTGGAGACAAGAGTTTATAATAAAGTATGTGGGGGAGTTGGTGAAGTTTAAGTAGGGAAGGTTTAGAAGAATCTGTAGAGAATAAAGAGACTGCTGGTTGGGAACCCTTCCTGTTGGGGAGATTAGGAGGCCCAGCTGAGATTGGAGACCATTAATTAATAGTAACACCAATATTGTAGGTTTTTTTTTTTTTTTTAAGAGATTTTCACTGTAGGGCGCGTGCGCTCGCCAGACAGACAGAGAGAGACATAGAGACAGAAAGCGAGAAATCACCCCCCAGGGGGGATGGTCACGCCGCAATCCCTTCTCCTCCATTCTCCTCTCGGGATCTTGGGCACGCACACACACGCGCCTGGCGTGAGTTTTAAGCCACGGGGTCTGGGACATGAACTGCGGTCGACTACGTGGGAGTCCAGCGACATAGCCATTATGCTAACTGCTGGTTCCCAATATTGTAGTTTATAAACTTTTTTTTTCACTATCTCAGAACTTAGCAGTCAGGGCATGTGCATTAGATTGATGTTGGGTTGAGAGTTTGCCAGTTAGAAAGAACAAGCTCTGAGCAGAGTTGAGAACTTACTAACACAAGTCATCAGAATAGCAGACTATGAAATGTAGGTTTAATAGAGAAGGTAATTGATTTAATAAGCGATAACTGGGAATCTATGATTGAGAATTGGCCAGTAACAAGGAACGAGATATGGGCCAGCCAGGTGATGTGCTGGTTCAGGTGGCCAGATTTCACATGGTTGACTGCATGGCTCAAGTTTCAACCCAGCAGCTTGGGAAAAACAAGTTGAATGTGTGCACGCAGGTGTCCAAAATCCTGAGAGGAAAGTGGAGAAGGGATTGTGGTTTGGCCATCGCCCTTGGGGAGTGATTTCTTGTTTTCCGTTTCTCTCTCTGTCTGTCTCCCTCTGTTGAGTACACATGCTCCATTAAAATAAAAAATAAAAAGGAAAGAAAAAAAGGAATGAGATATGAAAAGAGTTTAGAATATTGACAAAATAGGGGCCAGCAGGAGGCATGGTGGTTAAGGCGCTGAACTCCCACATGGTCTACCACAGTTCGGGTCCTGGACCTGGCAACTTGCTTTCTCACTTTCTCTCTTGTAAAATTAAAATAAATAAATGAATGAATGAAAGAAAGAAAGAACGCAAAATTAAAATGATTCTTTAGAAGAATATTGACAAAAATCATTGATGTAATAGACCTTGAACTCTAGGTTAAATAGAGAAGGTAATTGACCCAATAAGCGATGTCAGGGAATGTAAAGTAGGCAGGTGGAGAGCCCCCAAAATAAGACGATGTTAGCAGAAGGAAGAGTAAACCAGGCAGCAAACCCCACGGTGTTCATCACAGAGCCTGAGCAGAACAGGGAGGGAAGCAGGCACGAGCGCGACTGGTGACGGACTGTGACCACGGGAGGGTTTAGAGGGCGAGGACCGAGGCCCTCAGTGAAGCTGAGGGACGGATATGCTATACATGAGATGAGAGATCTGCAACGAAAGCGGGAGATGTTTCAGAGTGAGATACCTAGATTTTTACTGAGTCGTGTTCATGAGTTATGGTAGCAACTAAAATGTAAGAATGAGAAAAGGAAAAAGACTGAAGGAAAATAACGGGGGTGGTCAGAAAAGTCATGACGTATTTTTGTTCTGTGCACAAATGTGTCATGATTTTTCCAACAGCCCAGTACCTCCTCCCCCTTCTACGTCCCTCTAAATTAGATGCATTTGCTCAGAGTACCCTGTCACAGCCCTCATCACACCACACTATGTTTATCTGCTGGTTTATCTTCCTGCTTGAACTCTGCTACGTGATTGGCACAGATAGGAAATTCTTCTTCTTTTTTTTTAAAATTTACTGGAGGATGTGTGCACTCACCAGAGAGAGAGAGAGAGAGAAAGCACCCCATGCTGAATGGTCATGTCACATTCCCTTCTCTCCCACCTCTCCCTCCTTCCAGGAGTTTGTATATGAATGCACACACCCAGCGTTCTCAAACAGCCAGGTCCGGGACTCAAACCATGAGGCTGGTCATGTGAGAGCCAGCTGCCTTAACCACCACAACATGGTCTGGCCTTAGCTAATTTTTAAGTATTTCAAAATTATAGAAGTGATTATTTTTATATGGTAATATAATATTTTTTTCTGAATCTTTCTTTTTTACAATGGATTTTTTTTTAATTGGAAGAAAACACTTTCTTAATTTTTTTTTATTCATAAAAAATTGGAAGCCATGGCTGGCCAGTGGTGTGGTAATTAAGGTGCTGGACCCCCAAACTACAGTTCGAATCCCAGACCTGGTGGCTTGCTTTCTCACTTTGCCTCTTTCTCTGGTCAAATTTAAATATAATAATAATAAATAAAATTAAGTAAAATAATTCTTTTTAAAAATTAAAGCCAGTTACTTTTACTCTTCTGGGATTTTTTTTTTTAATCTATTAATTGTGCTAAGGGATTTGAGGCTCTTGTTATCACATTTATCCGGAGCAGTGGTTTTCTTTGTTTTTTTTTTCTTTTTTTAATTTTAATTTTAATTTAATTTAATTTATTTATTTATTTTGGAGAGGTTTTCGCTATAGGGCATGTGCGCTCGCCAGACAGACTGAGAGAGACATAGAGAAAGAAAGTGAGAAATCACCCCCCGGGGGGATGGTCACGCCGCAATCCCTTCTCCTCCATTCTCCTCTCGGGATCTTGGGCATGCACGCACACGCGCCCAGCGTGAGTTTTAAGCCACCGGGTACGGGACACGAACTGCAGTCGACTACATGGGAATCCAGTGACATATCCATTAATTACGCTAACTGCTGGTTCCCTGGAGCAGTGGTTTTCAAACTTCAGCATGCATCAGATCTCCTGGGACTCATCACTACACCTAGTGCGGGGATCCCCTCAGAATTTCTGACTCAGTAATTCCAGTAGCATTTGCATTTCTGACACGTTCCCAGGCGGCGCTGATGTCGTTGGTCTGGGCTCTCACTTAGAGACATACAGAGAAAACGGTACAGCCAAACATAATGCTTCAGTTTTCTTGAAGGCTGAAATCACAAGATCTCACAGTAGCATGTCCCCCCATTTCTCATGGTCCCTCTCCCCTTTGTCCTTCAGAGAGAGCAATTGGAATCACTTGAGTCCGCCCTCAACATTGACATCATCAGAATTCTGTCCGCTTCCCTTCTAACTCCCTCACACGCCCTTTGGATCTTCTCTCTGCAACACAAGGGTGAAAGAGGCTAAGACGGAGTGTGTGTGTGTGTGTGTGTGCGTGTGCGTGTGTGTGTGTGTGTGTGTGCGCGTGTGCACGTGTGTGTGTGTGCACGCGCACGCACGCAGGGACAATAAACATTAGCCAGTTTGGGCTAATACTGATGCTGCCCATGTTTATTCTTTAGAAATAAATAGGTACTTAGTGTTGCTGCTTTTACTGAAAAGCCACTTTTTAAAGATTTAGCCACATTTTTAGCTTAGTAACTTTGAGTAATTAGATTCTTATGACTGGGCTTATGGTGAAAGTGAGCACCAGAACTTAGCCCACTAACTTCAAATGAAGGCATTAGGCTGGAGTGAAAAAAAAGTTCCAAACTCAAAAGCTTGAATGTATAGGAAACTGTTCCTTCTACATTTGTGTTTTTATTTTAGTTTTTCTGTCGTGACTGAGTGTTCCTCTTTGTTGTGTGGGCGTATAATGTGGAATAGCTTTTCTGCCTCATGGTTACAAGTATTTACCTTTTAATTTCAGCTGATGAGTAAAGAATCTCCTGTCTCTGCTGGAAATGATGCCTATGTGGACCTTGACCGCCAGGTATGTCATGTGCCTTGTTTTTATTCAGGTGAAGAGTAAAAAAAATAAGCATCAGATAGTAATATGGAGAGAGGGCCCATTGAAGTTGCTTATGGAGTACATTGGTATAGCTTTCTGAAAAATAGAAGAGCTTAAGCCGTTTTACTAATGGCTATTGCACATTATCGTCTAAGTTTATAATTAAATGTATTTATAACTAAGGTATTGTTTAACCCACCTTAGACTAGGCTGACTTACTGCAGATCCTACTTCCCAGCCCTGTTCTCTCTCCACTAGTGGTAGCCGTATGCCACATGTAACGTGGTGGATGCACCCTGGAGAGGCATGCATTTACCCTTATGATTGATTTATAGTGCAGAAGAGAGCTCACCTCTTACAACTGAAGGAGTCTCCTCTGCCCTACCCTTCATCTTTGTAAAGCAGTGAATCATCTGTCAGTAGATAATTAAATGCTCTATAGGAACTACTATATTTTTAAAGGAATTTTGCAATGTATTTTCATGGTTTTAACAGAAAAATGATTTTGTGATTTTAAAGAAAATGCTGTCAGTTGCACTGTTAGCTTCTATGTTTAAGCTATTCTGGGACATCTCTTCCAAAGCATAAACACAAATGACTATAGCTTTTGTCTCCTCTTATTTCTTCCCCATGGTTTTTTAATGTTTTGCAGAAAATCTTTGGAGATGGTATAATTTTAGCCTAAGCTGTAATATGTCTTTCTTTTACTTTGTGGTTATTTGGTTTTGAAGTTATCTTGGATGCGTTATTTTTCTGTATGTATACTATCCAGAAGTTTGATCATGTGAAATTATAATGTTTTTGTATTAAAATACTGCTATACAAATTAGCATGATGGTTTCATGTGACTTAAAAACTTGTGTTCAGTGTACTAGCTATGTATTCTAATAGTTAAAGCCCTTATGCATCTAGCATGTTTTACCAAGGTAACCTTTCTTAATGGTTAAAGAATCAGTATTACCAGCAGTAGTCCAGATTGAAGAAAAAATGTAAAAAAAAACAAAAACAAAAACAAAACTTGACATGGGGAAAGAGCCAATTCTAAGGACAGAAAAGGACAGACAAGACAGGATTAAAAGAAATTCAGTTAGAAGTGCCTTCTTGTGATTCTCGCAGAAGAAGGGTTCTTGATTTTCCCCCATGGCAAATCCACCCACCCAAGAAAGAAAAGAGGGGAAATGTTATAATTCTGTGTTGTACATATGTAATTATTAGTTGTTGCCACTTTGTGTTGCAATGTTTGTTATACCGCTGCATCTAACCAGTTGAAGAAAACTACAGAGGAACTAAATGAAGCTTTGTCAGCAAAAGAAGAAATTTCTCAAAGATGCCATGAATTGGATATGCAGGTAAGAGCACTGTTCCCTGTACCATCTGTTCGAAGCACACCACACCAGTGTGGCTGGACATGCTGTAACTGCCTTACGGCTCAGCGTGGCTATCATGCAACTCTAGAGAAGAAGAAGGGAAAGCAAGTTTCTGGTTAAAGATAGTAGACTGAACAAAGATGTTCATTTCCCTTTTTTCTTGCCTGCAACCTCATTAGATGTATAGTAAATGAATTAAAATAGTATGAACCCACAAGAAAAGAGACAGAGGAGGCACATCTCATGCACGTCTTTGTGATATCCTAGTTGACTGGCGCTCAAGTGGCATGGGTACATCAGAAAGCCCCATACGTAGTGTTTGCCGGTTTCCCAAGTAGAAATGCCCTTGCAGTGGCAGATTTTGAGTTATGACGGTTTTAGTGCCAGCTCAGGAGACTCAGGAATATCTGATAGCTTGGTGATGGCCAGCTCTAGCTCTCTTCCAGTCTTCCTCCACCTCTGAAAGCCCAGACAGGCAGAATAGTCCCAGTAGCTCAAAGGACCAAAGGAGTGCCATACCAAGGGCATACCCATAGGGGGCGCTGCGAGCAGCCGCTGCTGTAGCAGAACGCAAGAGACCTCAGGTGTCTCGGAAACTGGAGAGAGGCTGAATAACTAGCGGGGTTATACAGAATGTGCGGTTTCTTCAGAGTTCGTGGAAAATGTGTTTTGTGAGGGAAGCTATACACGGATTTAGAAGTTGTTGTTGTACCAAAATAAACTCACCTTCACTCCTTTTTTTCCTGAACTTTTTGAGGTCCCCTCACAGTCTAGCCTCCTTGTTGTGTCACCCACTGCAAATAGACTGACCTAAGCCAGGCTCCATGTTTCAGGGATCTTAGCAAAGAAATTAAACAAACGGGAGCGTAAAGAGGTTTGAGAGAGTATTAGAGTTGCAGAGTAACGTCCTTTTTATTCTGGCCTAATTTAGTAGAGGCCAGCTTCTTGTGGATAAGCCTTGACATGAAAACCCATACACGTAGAGCTTTCAGTGACCGTTGCTAATGATAAATATAAGCAGTTACAGTCCTAATTCCTAAATGTAAGGAGAACCTGCATTACCAAAGAGGAAAGAATCAGGATAAATGAAAACTTAACCTTGAGGAAGAAGAAAAATTTTGAAAAGTAGGGGAGATGTTTTCCTGTTTAATCTATTTAATACTGCCTCAGTGAAGATACTGTATCTGTAAAATAAGGATAAGAAGCTGCTTTTCTTTTTTTTCTTTTTTTTGGGGGTGGAGGTTAAAGATTTATTTATTTATTTTCATTTGCTATTACTGTTTTTTAATTTGATCAGAGAGAGAGAGACAGAGAGAGAGAAAGGGAAAGTGAGCAAGCAAGCAAACAGGTCTGGGACTTGAACCATGGTTGACCATGAGAAAGTCCAGCACCTTTAACCACTATGCTACCTGCTGGCCCCTCAAGAAGCTGGGTTTTTTGTTTTTGTTATTGTTTTTTTTTTTTTGGAGAGGTTTTTTTTCCTGTAGGGTACGTGCACTCTCCAGAAAGACGGAGAGAGACAGAGAGACAGAAAGCGAGAAATCACCCCCAGGGGGGACGGCCACGCCGCAGTCCCTTCTCCTCCCTTCTCCTCTCAGGATCTTGGGCACACACGCACATGTGCCCGGTGTGAGTTTAAGCCACTAGGTCTGGAACTTGACCCACAGTTGACTACATGGGAGTCCAGCGACATAGTCATTACGCCAACTGCTGGTCCCATCCCTTTCTGTCTCTCTGTCTCTGTTTCTCTGGTGAGTACTTACGCTCTATAGGAAAAATCTCTCTTTTAAAAAAAAAGTTGCCAAAGGTGCATGTGTTTGTCAGAGAAAGAGGGAAAACTACTGGTCCCTAAAATACATTTCTTAGAAGTCTTTTTGTGGACATAAGGTTTCAGTTCTCTTGAGCAAATACCTAGGAATGAACTAGCTCAGTCTATTATATAGTAATTGCAATATTAATTTTTTAAATTAAGAATTACTTAATTTTGAACCACCAGATGGCATGGTGGTTAAGGCACTGGAATCTCCCACACGAACAACTACTGTTCGAGTCCTGGACCTGGTGGCTTACATTCTTACCTTCTCACTCTCTCTCTCTTTCTCTCTCTGGTCAAATTAAAAATAAATGAATAAATAAATAAAGTTAAATAAATAATTCTTTGGGACCAGCAGTTAGCGTGACGGCTATGTCGCTGGACTCCCACATAGTCGACCGTGGTTCACATCCTGGACCCGGTGGCTTAAAACTCACGCCGGGCGTGTGTGTGTGTGTGTGTGCCCAAGATCCTGAGAAGAGAATGGAGGAGAAAGGATTGCAGTGTGGCCATCCCCCCGGGGGGTGATTTCTCGCTTTCTGTCTCTCTGTCTCTTTCTGGTGAGTGCACGCACCCTATAGCAAAAACCTCTCCAAAAAAAAAAAAAGAATAATTTTATTATATTATAATTATTTTTAAAATTTCCTATAGAAAGTTTGCATACGCACTCACCAGAGAGAGAAAGAGAGAGAGGGAGAAAGTGAAAAAGCAGACCGCTAGGTCTGGGACCCAGACTATGGTTGACCATGTGGGAATCCAACCCCTAACCACTATACCACCTACTGGCACCCAAGTTTAACTTCTTTTTTTTTCAGAGAGATATTTTTGCTATAGGGTGTGTGCACTCACCAGAGACAGAGAGAAAGAAAGTGAGACATCATCACCCCAGGGCGATGGCCACACCACAGTCGCTTTTTCTTCATTCTCCTCACAGGATTTTGGACATACACAAACGTGCCTGGCATGAGTTTCAAGCCTCCAGGTCCAGGACTTGAACTGCAGTTGACTATGTGGGAGTCCATTGACATACCGTTATGTGATCTGGTCCCTTCAAGTTTAATTTTTTTAAGAAGCTGCTTGGGACCAACAGATGACATACTTGTTATGTCGCTGGACTCCCACCTAAGTCAACGTAGTTCAAGTTCCAGATCCGGCGGCTTAAAACTCAAATCAGTGTGTGTGTGTGGCCAAGACCCCAAGAAGAGAATGGAGAAGGGATTGTGGTGTGGCCATTCCCCTGGGAGATAATTTCTTGCTTTCTGTCTCGTCTCTCTGAGAAGTGCACGTACCCTATAGTACAAATTTCTCTTAAAAAAAAAATAAAACTGCTAATCTGTTTCCCAAAATATTCTAAATATTTTATATTCTCCCCAGAAGTGTGTGAAAATTTGGTCTCACCTTTGCCAACACTTAGTACAGTTAGTCTTTTTTATTGTATCCGTTCTAGTGTGGGTGTGATGATAGAACATATTGGTTTTCATTTGCATTCCTTGGTGACTAATAGTGGACTGAGGAAGACCCAACCTCAGTGTGGTGTACACCACCCAGTTGGCTGGCAGCATGGGAGGGACAAAGGGAAGCGGGAAAGTCTCTCTCCTTCTCCTTTCTCTGCTTCTGTCAGCCTTGTGATGTAGTCATGGGACTGTTCCAGCCACCAAAATTCAGGAGCCAAATAAACCTCTATCCCTTACAAATCACTCAGTCGCAGGTATTTTCTGTCTAGCAATGTATTCTCAGACTAATAAAGAGGAAACGACTGCTGTCTCTGTATTCCAACAGGTTGCAGCACTGCAAGAAGAGAAAAGCAGCTTGTTGGCAGAGAATCAGGTATTAATGGAGAGACTTAATCAATCTGATTCTATCGAAGACCCTAACAGTCCAGCGGGAAGAAGACATTTGCAGCTCCAAACTCAATTAGAACAGCTCCAAGAAGAAACATTCAGGTATAAGAGCTCTCATGGAAACCTGGGTTTGAAAGTGAGGGAACCGTCGTTTGGTATTAAGACGGTATGAAATGTTAGGGCTTCTGGATAGCCACGACCAAGGAGGTAGTGTAACAAACAACCTCCCCAAACCTCCCCCACGACATGAAATAGCTTCCCCTCTAAGTAGAAATCTGTTGAAGCTACACTCTCAATATTATTTGAAGATGAAATGCCTTAGTTTGCCAAATAACTGGGAGTGAAAAGAAGAAACCAGACATCAGCCTTGCATCCAGCACCCTTGTGCCCCCACCCCCAGCTTTGTGTAAGCAAAGGCAGACTGGGCAAAGAATTAGAAAAAGGCAGTGGGAGAATACTAGTGACAGGTCCTGAAGTGAACTGCTTTCAGCGGGGAGATGAAGTTTGCCCATAGTTTAAAATTACTTTAAAAAAACGCTGGGAGAGGGTGACTGGGCAGAGTAGACCACACACTGCAGGGCACAGGCGCAGAGTGCTGCAGCTTTTTAAAGGGCCAGACACGGAGAGCCGGAATTTAGAGGCTGATGCCCTTTCCAGGCTCACGGGGTAAGGAGCTATAGTACAGAAGTGAGGTGCACAATTTCCAGAGATAGACTTCTTAGAGGGACAAGCTGACTTAAAAGGATAGGCATGCTTCAAAAGCACAGTCTTCCAAACGCATCCTTTAGGAGAGCAAAGGCCAACGGGAAGGAAGAAGGGCCTTCCAGCAACCCAGTGGGGAATGGGAAAGAAGAACAGGGAAGTTTGTGTTCTGAAAGACAAACAGAGCTATGAAACTGGAGGGCTGGCAGTACGGTGGAAGGACTGCGTTATGGCCTACTCGGTGCGATCCTGGCTCTTACCTAGCCCTGGGTCCCCAGTGATCAGACAGCAATGGAAATTAAACATCAGTGAGAGTTTGACTCCGCCAGCTCACCCAGCTGCTAGCCTTCATTATTTCTCAATGAAATATTTCTGAATTTATTTTTTAGTTTTGCCTTAGTAGGAAAAAATAAAAAGCTTTCTTGGTCTCAGAAACGTTAGAAAAGATCAGTTCTCTGTGGTTTACATGAGCAGTTCAGTAGTGTCCTAGGGTTCTGGAGGTTTTCCGAGACCATTTCAAGAGTCTTCAAGGCCTCTCAGTTCTAACTACATTTCCGTGCAGGGATGAATTTTCCTCACTTCAGCCAAAAACAGTAGGTCATGAAAGATGAATATAGGAACAGATACAAGAACCCAACTGTCTTCATTAAACAGGGTAGTAGAATTGCGAAAGTGTACAACAGTGCCACTCTTAGCACTCTTTTGTTTTAGAAAGTAAATCTATTAGGTTGTCAAAGAAGTCATGACATATTTTTCTATGTAAAAATGTTATCTATGTTTTAATTGTCAGAGGGCACGAGAACTTGCCAGAGACTGATGGGGGTGGGGTGGGGGGCAGAAGCACCCCTCCCAGGGGATGTTGTCCCTTCTCCATTTCTTCATTTAAAAAATATATATATTTGCTTGCTAGAGGGTGGGGGAGTGAGAAAGCATCCCCCTCAGGTGGGAAGACTGTGCCACAGTCTCTTCTCTGTTCTCCTCGTGGGGTTTTGGGCACACATGCACACGTATCCCAGTGTGGTTCTCAAGATGCCAGGTCCAGGACTCAAACCATGCAGTCATCTATGTGGGACCAGCCCCCTCAACCCCACACCACCCGTGGCCCCCATTTCTCCATCTTGTCGATGTGTTTTTCAAGCCTCCTGGGCTGAGATTCAAACCATCGTGAGCCATGAGGGTTCTGTATCCCTTAACCACTAGGCCATGAGGCCAGCCCTCTGTTTAAACATACTTTGTCTTCGTTTTCTTTGTTATTTTGAATTTTGCCAGAGGGTACATGTGCCTCCCAGAGAGAAAGAGAAAGCACCTCCTGGGGGAATGATCACTGCAATCCCTTATTCTCCACTTCTCCTTCATTTTGGGATTTGGGGCACACACCCACATGCCAGTGTCTTTTCTCATGCCTCCAGGTGGGGACTCGGACCACACGGTCCTTAGTGTGGGATCCAGCTGCCTTCACCACACCTACTGGCCCCTTTGTCTTCATTTCTAAATAAATATCGATAGATAAAACCTACATACAAGGTTTTGGGGGGTCTGCAGTCATTTTAAGAGTATACACATTTACTCCCACATTCCCCTTCTTTATATACCAAAGGCAACAAAAATAATTTCTTAAAAAGTATCAGTATCGCATTTATAAATATTCTTTTTTAAAATTGCTAGAGGGCACATGCGTTTACCAGAAAGGAGTCAGTGCACCCAGTGGGACGCGGTCACATTGCAGTCCCTTTTACTCCATTTCTCCATCCTGTCGTGATCTGGGGGCACTCAGCCTGCACTCCCAGAGTGTTTCTCAAGTTGCTGGAGCTGGAATGTGACCTGTGATCAGCCATGTGAGTTCCAGGTGCCTTAACCACTAGGCTACCATACCAACCCCTATGCATATTCTTTAAATGGTCCTAAATAAAACAGTAACAAATTATTCAGTCTAATATATTGAAAACTCTGACAGGAGGGGAAAATGAAGAGGGGATTGCAGTGTGACCATTCCTCTCACTTTCCCTTTCTCTCTGAGCACATGAGCCCTCTGGCAAATTAAAAGAAAAAAGATTTAGGTTAGATATTTTGGCAGGAAAAATTACTTTCCTACATTTCATCATATACCAAAATGAATTCTAGCAAAATTAAACGTTGATGTTAAAAAATGAAATGATTAGAAGTACTAACAAAAATGTAAATTTTAAAGTAAAAAAGCTTCTTAAGCATAAATGAAAACACACTGAAGTATAAGATTGATCAGTTAGGGGCTGGCAGGTGGCGTGGTTGTTAAGGACGCTGGACTCCCACATGGCCAACTACAGTTCAAGTCCTGGACCTAGTGGCTTGCTTTCTCAATTTTCTTTTCTCTCACTCTGTCCCTCTCTGGTCAAATTAAAAACTAAATAAATAAAGTTAAAATAAATAATTCTTTTAAAAAAAAGATCAACTACGGGGAACCAGCAGTTAGCGTAATGGCTATGTTGCTGGACTCCCACGTAGTCGACTGCGGTTAGTGTCCCGGACCTGGTGGCTTAAAAAACTCACGCCAGGCGCGTGTGCGTGCGTGCCCAAGATCCCGACAGGAGAATGGAGGAGAAGGGATTGCCGCGTGACCATCCCCCCTGGGGGGTGATTTCTCGCTTTCTGTCTGTATGTCTCTCTCTCTGTCTGTCTGGCGAGCGCACGCGCCCTACAGTGAAAATCTCTCCAAAAAAAAAATATATATATATATAAAAAAAAAAGATCAACTACATAAGAAAAGACTTTCTGTTATTTATATATATAAAATCAAGACTTAAATAATTAACTATAGAATGTTTGTGACATGAGAGACAAAGAGTGTTGTATCAATAAATCAAAGGAAGAGTGTGTGTGAAGTCAACAGACTTGGCTGATGAGGAACAGTGAATTTCACCCTGCACCTGCAGAGCATGGTCTGCTCAGCCAGCCTGCATTCCGCAAGAATCCCGTTAGTTCCCTTTATCCGGTTTCCAGCCAGTTACCGTCTGCTGGCCCCTGTGCTGCTCCTGGGCAGTCACTTCCGCTGGCCACGTTGTATTGGTCGTTGAACCTAATCTCGCACTCTCACTGCAAAACCCACATTGCAGTGGACCCTCAACTTGTCATGATGGTCCTGAACAAAGCTTTTCTTACCCTGCTTTTAAAAAAAAAAGAAGTGCGAACAGAATTATTACTACTGGGGAGGAAATATGAGTAGCAGTCAGAATGGAGGATAGATTCCAAAATGTTGGTGGAAGTTGTCTAGATTAATGAAAGGCTTTTTATTTTCTTTGGTTTTCTGTATTTTACAAATCATGAATAAGGAATATGTGTTAATTTCATAATAAAAATCTTAAATAAACCATACCTGCAGTATTTTGGAAAATCACTACTTGATGTCTAGCTTCCTGATAATGAAATGATAGTTAGCTCTCTGTCACCTTTCCCAGGCCTTAGAAAAGTGGAATTTATTGGGACTAGCAGTTAGCATAATGGCTGTCGCTGGACTCCCATGTAGTCGACCACGGTTCGAGTTCCGGACCCGGTGGTTTAAACTGATGTCAGGCGTGTGTGCATGTGTGCCTAAGATCCTGAGAGGAGGATGGAGGAGAAGGGATTGTGGCATAGCCATCCCCCCCGGGGGGGGGGGGCAATTTCTCACTTTCTGTCTCGCTCTCTCTTTCTGGCGAGCGCACGTGCCCTATAGCAAAAACCTCTCCGAAAAATAATAAAAGAAAAGTGGAATTTATTTTTATGACAGTTAGGACTTAGAAATAACAGCTTTTGGCCACAAAAGTAGGAGAGTTATTAAAGAGCTTATTCTCGTGTTTTATGTTTTTATTTTCTTTTGCTATTCTAAGGAGAATTATGAGATAGTAAATCATGCTTTCTTGGTCTATTTTGTTTTGGTACAGACTGGAAGCAGCCAAAGATGACTATCGAATTCGCTGTGAAGAGCTGGAAAAGGAAATCTCTGAACTTCGGCAGCAGAACGATGATCTCACCACACTGGCAGATGAGGCTCAGTCTCTGAAGGATGAGATAGATGTTCTTCGGTAAGCAGCCTTCCCCTCGCTGTGGATTCCCAGGCCTCCACCCCCGAGCAGCTCTCTCAGTATTGCAGACTCGAGGCTCTCTGAGCATACAGGCGTGTGCAGGAGCTGGACCACGTGGGTTCAGATCCCGGGCTGCCCTTGCTTGTACCTGCGTAGCTGTTTTCTTATCTGTAAGGTGGGAGTAATACCCATACCTCCCTCAGGCTGATACAAGGAGGTGAGTGTGTTTATGTGTGCACACTGCAGTGGGTATCTGGCAAATAGGTGTATGTGTGAGGTGGAAGTTCCTGTGAGTGTCACCTCACACCGGGGTAGCACTGCAGCTTTTCTTCTTACTGGTTCTTCCTGCTGGTGCTCTGAGCCCTCCAGTCCCTTGGTTTTCCCTTTTCTCAGATGTTGTCACACCCCACGAGGCTGCATTTTTCTCCCTGGTATCCCTCCTCCCTGCAGTTATCTCTTCACAAAGCGCCTTACTCTCTGCCGTCTCGGTTTTCTGCCCTTGTACTTCTTTCATAATCTCCTGCCATCTGTTGGGTCATTCTAGCCCTCTGTATTTTCCGCTTTTGCTCTTTGAATGCAGAGAGTGAATAGAGTGGATCACAGAGAGTTGCAGTCTGTCCTCACGTAAGTTCATGATGCTCGCTCTTCCCATGTTTTCGTCACCAGCCCACGTTCTGTTGCTCATCATCAGACAGCCCCACCCCTTCTCATGTTGCTGGTTTGTTTTAGAACCTTCTCACCTGCCTTTCTGTGTGCCCAGCCACCCACCCACCCCCACTCAGTAGTCTCAGTAGATGGCTGGTCTGCTGCACAGAGGAGAGGCCTGAATTGTGGAGCACCCCATTGTCCTGCACCCAAACCTGCCCCTCTGAACTTCCCTGCATCCCCTCCTGTCTCCTCTGTTCTGCCTCTAGCATGTGGATCTGTTACTCTTCCTCCTGTTCAGGGCTAATGTCTTCTTAGTGCTCTGGATTTCAACCCTTCTTGCTTACACTGAAATTGTGTTTTATCACTTATTATTTCTCCATATCTTGACTCCTCTTCTTTGGTATGCACACATACGTTTAAGTCTCTTTATCTTTAAAGCAGAAAGAAATGGCCAGCCCATGGCCTGCTTGTTAAGGAGCTGAATTCCACGTGACCAAGTGCTTGGTTCGGATCTGGGACTGGGTGGCTTGAGAAACACCTTAGGCATGTGTGTATGGGTGCCCAAAATCCCAAAAGAAGTGAAAAATAGAGAAGGGATTATGGCATGACCATTTCTTCAGTGGGTGCCGATCCCCTTTCCTTCTCTCTTTCTGTCTCTCATTGTTGATTCTTGCACCCTTGGCAAAAAAAGAGAGAGGGAATCATGACTGTCTCCTTCCTCTCAGAACCAAATTTAGATTACATAAGGTAAAGTTACCTTCTCTTCTCAACTCCCTAAAATTTTCTCTGGCCTGTGTGCCTCTAGTACTCAACTGAAACCACAGTTCCTGCGGTCACTAATAATATACTAGTTGCCAAATCATGTGGACATTTCACAGTTTAGTTTTCTTCTGTGCTGCGTGTCACTCTGCTGGCTACTCCCTCTCATGTGCTTTCTCTAAATTATGTAACATTCACCATCATACATTTTACTGTTATTTTGTTTATATCTTTTAACCTTGGAGTCACTTTCGGTCTGACAGGTTCATTAGAATGTATTGTTTCCTGGCAGCCGGTCTTGGTTTACCACTGTCTAAAACAGCTTTACAACTATGGATGTGTTTCTGATTTTTAGTTTCTCATCTTGTTCTAGGCATTCTTCCGATAAAGTTTCTAAACTAGAAGGTCAAGTAGAATCTTACAAAAAGAAACTAGAAGACCTTGGTGATTTGAGGCGGCAGGTTAAGCTCTTAGAAGAGAAGAATACAATGTACATGCAGAACACCGTCAGTCTAGAGGAGGAGCTGAGAAAGGCCAATGCAGCTCGAAGCCAGCTCGAGACATACAAGAGACAGGTGAGCGTGGGGACAATTCCTTAATGAAGGTTTCAAGCAAGCTCTCCATTATATAACCCAGAGCTTATCAAAAATCTACTAGTGTTTATTTTCATGATATTCCATTTTTTGCTTTTTTTTTTTTTTTTACTTTTTTTAAAATGGTATTTATATGTACCTACTGTATATTTAAAGCACTTTAATCTTAATTCTTATCCAGAAGCTGTCGATTGATCTCTATAGTTAATTCTGAGTTGTTTTTTGTTTTTTTTGAAATTTTAAAAATTTATTATGTGATACTGAGAAAATACATAAAACTGAAAAAAAAAAACACCTGATCTCCTCTATTTTCTTTACAAAGATTTAAAGTTTGTTTCTCTTTAGGTCTTTCATTACCCCGAGTTGATTTTGGTGGAGGGATCCAGCTGATACTGGTTTTGTCTGTCTGGATAGCCAGTTAGCCAGCACTGTTTATTTAATAGTCCATTTTCCACCTGAGTTGCACTTCTACCTCCTATATCTTACGTTTTCATATTATATGTGGGTTTGTTCCTGGACACTCTCTGCTGTTCTGTTGATCTACTTGTCTGTTCCTACCCCGGTACACTGTTTTATTTCTTAGAGGTTTTTAGTAATTTTAATATTTGGTAATACATCCTTTTTTTTTAATTTGTTTTCCAAAATTGTTTGTGCGGTCTTGGCCTTTCGCTTTCCTGCTAAGCCCAGAACCTTTGGCAATTGGATTTTTGTTAAAACTGTCTGCTAGTTGGGGAGGGTTGACATCTTTATGCCAGAGAGTGTTCCTGTCTCTGAATGCTGTGTATTTCCATGTATTAAGGCATTCAGTGTCTTTCAGTTAAGTTTCTTAAAGATCGTGCACATATTTTGTTGCATTTACTCTTATGTACTTTATACTTGCGGTTGTTCGGGTAAATGCAGGTAAAGATACCACTTTCGCTTTGTTGCTGTTGTATGCTTACTCTGCAGCCTTGCCAAATTCTTCTATTACTTTGATGTCTATAGATTCTCTTGTCAGTAGTGATGTAGTCAATAAATAAAATCAGTTTGTTTCTTTCTCTTTTATACCCTGTCTGGCCTTTAATACAACTTTGAGTCGAAACAGTAGTAGTGGGAGACTATTTTGTAGTTGATAATGTACAGAATATTTTAAGTATTTAAGCAGTATAGTAGGAGGATTGCTTAAAGATTCTATAGCTACCTTTTATTAGGATAAAGAAATTCTATCGTATTCCTAATTTGTTCAGAGTCTATCTTAATGTATGTTGGATTTAATTGACTACTTTTCCTACATCTATTGAGAGAATCCTGTGCTTTTCCTTCTTTCCTTTAATGTGGTAAATTATACTAATGAATTGTTTAAGCTTAAACTATCCTTACATTCTTGAGATAAACTTACCTTGGTTACTGTGGATTTATTTTTTGTTTTCATGCTGTTAGGTTTGCTTTGTTCATTTTATTTCAAATATTTTGCCTCTGTAATTTATTTGAAATTTCATACCTCAAATTTTCTTTATCTGGTTTTGGTATTAAACTTGTATTATTGGAGAGCAATCTTTTACCATTCTAAAAAGAATTTGTGCAGAACTAGAATTTTTTGCTGCTTCAAGTTTTAAAAAAATGCCCTGTAAACCATGAATGGCTGGCAGGTGTTTTTAATGGGTACACTTTTTTCCAATGCTTTATCACGAAATTTCTCAAGCATACAATGAAGCTGAAATAACTAATATACTTGAGTATGAACTGAGAAGTTACCCAGAATAAATATATCTTTAAGAAGCTATAAATGATATGTATGAAATATAAAATGAGGAATGAGCTAATTAGAGTTCCAGAGGAGGAAATAGAAAGGATTAGAGGAAGACATTTGAAGTGAAGGATGGCAAACATTTTTTTAGGACTGCTGAAGGATATCAGAATTAAAAAGAAATGTATACTGGGGCCAGCCCGTGGCATGGTTTAGGCTGCTGGATTCCACATGGCCAACCAACCACACAGAGTCCTGGACCCAGGGCTTGAGAAACACGCCAGGCATGAGTGCATGCATGCCTGAAGTCCCAAAGAGAGGGAGAGATGAAGGAGAAGGGGTTGCAGCGTGACTGTTCCTCATGGGGATGCTTTCTACCTCTCTTCCTCTCTGTCTCTATGTCTCTATCTCTCTTCAGTGAGTACACACACCCTCTGGCAAAATTGAAAAAAAAAAATCTACACCTAGAAATATTGTAATGAAACTGCATAATACATTAAGTCTCTCTGTTTCAGATCTGGTGCTCAATGTATTTTTTTTTTTTTTTAATGATGTTTTTCCCTCTACAAGTTCTCTTTTGTGTGTGCTCTCTCAAAGCTTCCTCATCATTTTTTAATGTCTCTAGTTCCTTTTTCTAATTTAGATTTCCTCTCTATTGTTTAAGTATCAAGCCTAGTGTACACACACACACACACACACACACACACACATACATATATATATATATATCGTTATCTGATAATTCCAATCTGATGTCCTTGGAGATCTTATTCTGTTTGGTTGTGGTTATTGCTATTAATGTTTTCCCTGATTCTTGTTCATGCGGCTTATTTCTTTATGGCTTCTTAATTTTGGATTTTACTCTTGAGACTACTAAGGGTCCTGGTTGAGGTTGTGTTTCTCCTAATAATATGTCTGTTTGCTTATCTACTTTTCTTAGTATTACCAACCAGAATTACTTTGAGTGCTTGGCTTAGGTTTTCCCAGACAAAGCAAGTAATGAAAATTCAAACACACATCCATGTACATGGAGTCAAAGTTCATGGAAAATGGGTATTATGCAGAAATTATGCATGGATTTCAGATTTTTTTTTAAGATTTATTGTCATTGTTTATTTTATATTTTGTATTTTTTAAGAATTATTTAATTTTATTTTATCATTATTATTATTTTAACCAGAAAGAGACAGAGAGAGAGAGAGAAAGGGAAAGTGAGAAAACAAGCCACCAGATCTGGGACCTGAACCATGGTTGGCCATGTGGGAGTCCAGCACCTTAACCACTATGCCACTTGCCGGCCCCTTATTTTTTGTTTTTTGAAGTTAACCAGAGAAAGACAGAAATAGAGTAGGAAAATGAGAAAGCAAGCTGTCGGGTCCAGGACTTGAACCATGGTCAACCATGTGAAAGTCCAGCTGCATTAACCACTATGCCACCTACCCGCCCCAATTTCAGAGTATTTTTGCAGCGGGATCAGCAGTTAGCGTAATGGCTATGTCACTGGACTTCCATGTAGTCGACCACAGTTCAAGTCCCGAACCCAGTGGCTTAAACTCATGCTGGGTGCGTGTGCATGTGTGCCCAAGATCCTGAGAGGAGAATGGAGGAGAAGAGATTGCAGCGTGGCCATCCCCTCTGGGGGGTGATTTCTCGCTTTCTATCTCTCTGTCTCTCTCTGTCTGTCTGGCGAACACACGCGCCCTATAGCAAAAATCTCTCCCCATCCCCCACCCCAAAAAAGAAGAATGTTTTTGCAGCAAAATAATAAACTCATACTCTAATTCCATTTTCCATGAACTTTTTGAAGACTTTTGTATGGTTAGGCTTGTAGGCCATGTTTACAAATGGCCACATTAAACTTTTTAAAATCCAGCGAGCTCAGTTTACTTTGCCAGCTTGTGGATTTAACCCATCTCTTCACTGAATTGCCACTTTTTAAAGGCCAAGGTGGTTTAATACCCACGTGTTCCCTGTTGAACCCATAGCTCCAGGTTCCTGGTTTTGGCACTTGGCACCTCATGACGCCTATAACTTCTGCACGAACTTCCCACTTCCGGGGTAGCCCCTGAGGATTCCCTGACTTTTCTGTAAGCTTTGCTGGTACAGTCAGAGCCTCCCCTACCAGCTCCTGCATTTCTTTTATTTCATACAAAAAGAGTCTCAGACTACCCAGTTACCGATATTGCTGGAAATGAATGTTCTACAGATTGTTTTGTAATTTTGAACAGTTACTCTGAGTGGTTCTAGGTTCCCAAATGGTATCTGGGCAGCTTTTTTATTCCCAGTTTGTCCCATTGTGTTTAACTATTGGATCATATACAGTTATTCACATATCGGTGGAGAAGGGGTTTTCTTAGACCTGTAGAAGAAAATACTGATAATTTCTATTCAGATTTTAAAAATTAATGGTATCTTTCTATATCAGGTAGTAGAACTGCAAAATAGATTATCTGAAGAATCAAAGAAAGCAGATAAATTAGATTTTGAATATAAGCGGCTAAAAGAAAAAGTTGACAGTCTTCAAAAAGAAAAGGATGTGAGTATATGTATTAGGCATTTGATTTTGAACACCACTAAGGTTAAGACGTATTATTCACTGTATTAATTCCTTCTACTTGTGAATTTAAAAAACTAGCATTTCTATTTACTTTTAAATAAATAGAAATAGATTTCCATTTGTGTTTCAGAAATAGGTCTAACATAGAAGATAAAAAAAATATTTTTACTTCCATTTTCATTTCTTTGTATGTATTTGTCTCTTCTACCAATATTGCCTCTCTCATATTGCTCTACTCATGATTTTTAATAAGTTTGTGAAGCTTTTCTGTTATCTTTGTGATTAATATAGAAGAGACTCCTTTTTTCCTGCATATTTTGAACCTTTTAAAAAGATTTTTACTTTGTCATGCATATTTATAGACTTTGTTTATTGGTCTTATATTTGATGAAATGGATATTAAGAAATTACTTATTGTTAAGGATAGTTTAGGCAGCTTTCAGGTTTTTTGGTTTTTATTTTTGTTTTATTTTGTTTTGTTTTGTTTTGTTTTGTTTTTCATTTGCCAGAGGATGTGTGTATTCACCAGAAGGAGATATAGAAGGAGAAATCACCTTTCCCTTCCCCCACAATGGGGCATCCTGTTGGGATTTTGGGTTCACATACACACATGCCTGGAGTGTTTTTCAAGGCACTGGAGCCAGGATTTGAACTGTGTGGTTGGTCATGTGAGATAGGGCTCCCACTTAATCACTAGGCCATGGGACTGGCCTGACAGTTTTGATTAATATATTTTATTGTAAGTAGCGTAGTGCTTTGTACATAGTAGATATTCAGTATTGTTAAATGGAAAAACATTAATTTATTACTCCCTCTACAACCTTTACAGAAAAGATCAAGAGGTGGGCTGGCCCCATAGCATAGCATTTTAAGGAGCCAGATCCCACATGGCCAACCGTGATACAAATGTGGGGCTCTGGTGGCTTAAAAATCACACTGGGCACAGGTATATATACGTGCCCCATATTCTAAGTGAAAAGAAAAAGATCAAAATAATGAAGATATCAGGCTAGCCTATGTTGTGGTTAAGGTGGCTGGATCCATTTGACTGACTGCATAGTCTGAGTCCTAGACCTGGCAGTTTGAGAAACACACCAGGCACATGTGCTTGCATTCTCAAAATCCTGAAAGGGAGGAGAAATGGAGAAGGGACTGTGGCATGATCATGCCTTATGGGGGAATGCTTTCTCACTTTCCCTCTCTCTCTGTCTTCATCTCTTTCTTTGCCTCTGGTGAGCGCATGTGCCCTCTGGCAGGTTAGAAAAAAAAAAAAAAAACCCAAACCCTAAAATAGTGAATGTATCTATGCTCATTATTGTTTATCATTTTATTGGGTAAGGCGAAGACCATTGATGAAAAAATTCATAAAACTTGAAGCTAACCTTTCGTATTTATATCTCTCTTCAGAGGTTAAGAACAGAAAGGGATTCTCTGAAGGAAACCATTGAAGAGCTTCGTTGTGTACAGGCTCAAGAAGGGCAGCTTACAACTCCAGGTGAAAATATTTTTGTGCCCAAATGAGATGATCGATTTCCAATGGTATTAATAAAAAATATTAGGTTCACTTCAAGATAACTATACCAATAGAGTAAAATGAAAGCTTGGTGGAGAGGCAATAAAGGTGATAAAAAATCTGAAGTATTAACAGATTGATGACCAATAGGCGACAGTCGTATGACTGGATTTTTGAAACATTGGTCAGAAGTGTAAATATTTGTTAAATCATCTGTGTTAACATGGGAAGTTTGGGGCTGGCAGGTGGCCTGGTGGTTAAAGGCGCTGGACTCCCACATGGCCAACCACAGACTGAGTCCTGAACCAGGCAGCTTGCTTTCTCACTTTGCCTCTTCTCTCTCTTTCTGGTCAAATTGAAAATGATAATGACAAATAAAGTTAAATAACATTTTTTTAAAAATGAAAAGTTTTATTCTGAAAATTTTTTGATGGTCTAGAGGGCCCTCAGTTCTGTGAAATAAGTCAGGCATAGAAAAGAATGTTCTCTCTCACATGTGCAATTAACAAAGAGTTGACCCCATAGAAGGGAAGAGGAGAGGGGCCAGCTGGTGGCACGGTGATAATGCAGTGCTTCACGTGGCTGAAGCCCCGGAAAAGCCCTGACTAGGGAGTCCCAAGGTTTCCCTGTATGTACCGGCGCTTGCTCACCTGTGATCTGCCTGGGTGGGGCTGGAGATGGACCCTGTGGGGTTGCCAGTTCTTCCTTTCCTTTAGTGCATAGGGAAAAGTTTACCAAAGAAATGTAAGACTTACATACTGAAGACTGAAATACACCTCTGAGACCTAAATAAATGGGGAGAGATTCCATATTCAAGTGTTGGAGAGTCAGTGTAGTTAAAGTTGCAGCTCTCCTCACATTCAGGTAAAGATTCGAAGCAGTAGCGATCAAAATCTCAACAGACTTTTGAAGAGACTGACAAGCTGATCTTAAAATTTATATCAAAATCTTAAGAAGCTAGAATAACCCCCCAAAATTGAAAAAGTTTGTACATCTTGATTTGAAAATTTACTATAAAACTTCTTCAATCAAGGCAATGTGGGACTTGCCTAAGGATAGACATAGAGATGGAATGAAAGGAAAAATAGAATGAAAGGAAAAAACACATACCCATCTCAACCAATGCAGAAAATGCACTTGAGTAAGTCCAGTACCCATTCATAACTTTTCTTGTTTGTTTTTATTTCCTTTTTTTCTTTTTAGGTTTTTGCATGTGCACTCACCAAGAGAGACAGAGAGGGAAAGTGAGAAATCACTCCTCAAGAGGAATGGCCATGTCACAATCCCTTCTCCATTTTCTTCTCTGTATTTTGGGCATGTATACACATGTGCCCAGAGTGATTTTCAAGCCTCTAAGCCCAGGACTTGAACCGTGGTAGGCCATGTGGGAGTCTAGTGCCTTAACCACAATGCAACCTCCTGAATACCCCCTCCTTCATGATTTTTAAAACTTAATAAAACAGGAAGAGATTTTTCTTAACATGGTAAAGATCATATACAAAAAATCCACAGCTGACATACTCAGTGTTAAAAAACTGAACGTATTTTAAGACTCTGAAGAGGAAGATCCCCACTTTCTCTCCCTTAGTTTCACTTAGTACTAGAAGTTATAGCCATAACAATTAGATAAAAACAAAGGAAAGGAAGAAAGAGAGTACATCTTTTGTATATCCTCATGCAAAAGAATGAAGTTGGACTATTTTATTACACTTTATACAAAAATTAACTCAAAGTGCATCCAAGACCTAAACATAAAAGCAAGGACTAAAACTTCTGGGAGAAAATAGAGAGAAAGATCTTCATGACTTTCGATTTGGCAATGATTTCTGGAATTGATACCAAAAGCAAAAGCAACAAGAGAAAAAGTCGATAAATTTGGACTTCTTCACAGTTAAAAATTTTATACATATAGGATGCTATTAACAGAATAAAGGCAGTCCTTAAAATGGGAGAAAATATTTGTAAATCTGATAAGCTATTAATATCCAGAATGTGTAAAGAATTCTGACAACAACAAAGAACAACCCAATTCACATATGAGCAATGCACTTAATGGACATTTCTCTAAAGAAAATATGCAGATAGCCAATAAGGACATGAGACAGTGCTCAGTGTCTTTGGTCGTTAGGAAAATGCAAGTCAAAACCACAGTGAGGACTAGGAGTTAGCGTAATGACTATGTCACTGGACTACCATGTAGTCGACCGTAGTTTGAGTCCTGGACCCGGTGGCTTAAACTCACATCAGGCACGTGTGTGTGTGTGTGCCCAAGATCCTGGGAGGAGAATGGAGGAGAAGGGATTGCAGTGTGGCCATCCCCCCGGGGGTGATTTCTTGCTTTCTGTCTCTGTCTGTCTCTCTCTCTCTGGCAAGTACACACACCCTGTAGCAAAAAAAATGTGGAAACAACCCACTGTAAATGGAATGGATAAATAAATGTGGCATATATAGAGAGAATGGAATATTATTCAGCCATAAAAAGGAATGGAATTCTAGTTGCAACACTGATGAAGCTTTAAAACAGTATATTAAATAAAGTAAGCAAAAGTAACAAAAGGAAAATATTATACTTGTATGAGGTACGTGGAATGAGAAAAATCATTGAGACAGAACTTAATAGAGATTACGAGGACCCAGAAGGTGACCATGCTCTCTTTTAACTTTGTATTTGTGTTTATGTTTTTATAGGGTTAATGCCTCTGGGAAGTCAGGAGTCTTCGGACAGTCTGGCCGCAGAGATCGTGACCCCTGAAATCAGGTGAGGAGATGCTCAGTCACAGTGCACCGTATTTCTGGAGAAAACTTACTCTCCGATACGGAGGGTCAGTGCCTTCTTCTTTGTAGCTGACCCTTCAACCTGAACTCTGTTAAATTTCCATGTTTTCAGCATGTTTGAAGCTTTCTTCAAATGGCTCAGAACTGACTTCCTCACTTTAATACAACAGTGCTTTGGCCCAGTTGCAGTGGAGCACAAGGCCGTTCTGCCAGGCTGGAGGCTGTGCAGGAGTCTGGGGTTTGACTCTCGGGTTGATCCAGGCATAAACAGACACACGTGCGAACTTGCCCACAGGAGAGTACAGCGTGATGAGCCCTTGTCAGAGATGCTTCTCTGTCTCTGACTCACTTGTGAGAGAAATTAATTAAAAAAAAAAAAAAAAAAAAAAAAATAAAA